GTAAATTATGATATGATAGTACTTGTGTGAGGCTAACTTCATTTCAATATTTTATCTAGAACCTCTTTCGGAATCATTGAAAGGTATAGAGTTTTATTTATATTTTTGCTTTTCATTTATTATCATTTTTTTTTGTTTTGATTTAACGTTATGTTCTTTTTTTTCTGGGGGGGGGGGGGTTAAAAATTTCTCCCTATTTCATTGTCAAATAGGATTTGTCAAACTTTAACCAACTTAAAGTTGAAATGACGGAAAATCTAATTTTTTCCATTAAAAAGTATTTAAACCTGATTCTGGTTTGATTTCTAAAACCAAGTGGAATATCATTCTTTAAGCAAGCTCTATGAGGAGGAATATTAAAAAGAAATTTTATTTTCTTGACAATAAAAGAATCCCTTTTCAAACAAAATTTTAGCATTGAAAGACTACGCGAATCTCTTAATTATTTCATACAACTTTTTGTATTTTTCTGGTTACAGGAAATGTAAAAATTAGTTTCGATGTAAAGAAGATATCAGAAAGTGTATAATTTGTATCACTTTAAAAGGGGTCATTTTTCAATGGGGGTCATTATTTCATAGGACTAACAAATAAAATAATGACCCCCTAGGACCCTTTTTCTACAAAAAATGATTTTTTTCTACGGGTGGGGGTCATTTTTTGTCGTTGAAAAATGACCCCCCGGTCATTATTCGATGGGGGTCATTATTCGTCTTTACACCGGAAGTACAATTAAGTTAATTCTTAATTTTACGACTTTTGGTGAAACATGCCCCGGGAGAAGAAAACAAGATTTTTAAAGAATTAATGCATTTTCACTATATAATCAATAGAGCCCCGCCCTAACATCAGAACCCTTGACCCTGGGGTCATAAAATTTACAATTTTAGAAAGGCGCTCTTGCTCATCATAACTATGTACTTGGTTAGTTTATTTAACAGCCAGGATCAGAGAAAAAGATTTTCAAAGAAATAATGCATTTTTACTATATAATCTATATAGCTCCGCCCTAGCACTAGAACCCCTGACCCTGGGGCCATGAATTTCCTAATTTGGGTAGAGGACTCAATGCTCATTACATTCATGCTAACAGTTTGCCTGCTTGATGTCCAGGAGTAAAGAAGATGACTTTTGAAGATTGCAATAATTTTAGTGCTTTCGGTCCCACCCCTCAGGCCCAAGGGGGGGGGGGGGGCAGAGACCTAAACATTCACAATTGATGTTCCGCTTCACCCATAGATGCTGTATACCAAATTTGGTTGAAATTGGTTCAGTGGTTTCAGAAAAGAAGCTGAAAATTTTCAAATGTTAACATCCGACAAACGACGCACGACGACGGACGAAAACGGATAACAATAGGTCACCTGATTCAGGTGACTCAAAAATCGAAAATTGAACAAACCAGGTTATACATGATAATTTGACCAAGAATTAAAGTCATTCCTTATAATTTAATTTTAAAATGAAAAAACAACTGTGGATGTAAAAGTGTGCTGCTTTTTACGAGTTCAAATGCCGCTCAATAATACAATCGTAGTAATGGAAGTGATAAGAAATGAGGGGAGGCAATACCAAGGTAACTGTTACACAGACCTGGCAGCCATGATGTTTGTTTATATGAGGTAAGATCGAGCTAATGTTTGAAGTTAAAGGTACATTTATTCAATCTGGAATTTCTCATGAATTCCAAGGACTGGAAATGTATGGATATAGATGATTCAGCTGGTTGTCAAGGAGGTGTGTCCCCATACCAAATTATTTGTACAAAATAATTTGCGTTCCTCTTCGGAAGTCAACCAATGAGAGACTAGGATGCAAACAAAATTAAATTATATCTTTATGGAGAAATACTTGAAGTTAATCCAGTTGCGTTCTACAGCAGAGCTATACAGCTAACATACTTTTTATAACATCGTGATACATTCCAGAAGAGAGAGAGAGAGAGAGAGGGAGAGAGAAACGGCAACTCGGCACCGTAGATGTCGTGGGCCTACAGTGACCATTTCAAACCATACTTACATGATTACATTGTAAGCAATAAACTTTTTTTGATGAAAATGTAATGAATTTTAAAAATTTGTGACCAAATTTACAAAGAAAAATTTATTATTTGAAGCGCTAGAAATTTATCATGCTTCTCTCTTTTAGTACGAAACAAATGACTGATTGAAACCGGAAATCCCAAACAGCTGTACATATACAGTGTATGTTTGAACAGGTCGGAGAGAATACTCGAAATCAGATATTATCCGTGAAATCGCATATTATACTCGATATTAGGGTATCGTTGAATCCGCGAAATCGGGTATTCCGTGCAACTTTCTATAAAAACTAAAGAATAAAACAACGGCGCATTATGTCAGTAACTGTTACTTGTACAACGGTATCTTGTGGATTTAATTTTTTTTAAATCCTAATTCATACGGATGTCAAATAAGTTTAAAATCACACGACAAACACTGCTGGGGTAACAAAGATGACACAATGGCGTTATTATTTTTCAATATAATTTCTAAAAGCAAATAACTACACTTCGTTTGTCTTTATTTCCCATTAAAGTATTCTATATATACCTAATTTTCTAATTTGTGCACCATTCACAAAACGTGAAATTTTAAAGAAATTAAACGACTAACGCCATGTTATGTATTTTACGGAAAAATGTATGGCGTCCCTTTCTCGTGAAATATAAATTATTCCTAACAGTTAGAGAGTACAGTCATAATTGTATATCTCTGCCATAATAGAATACCGGCGTTTTAAAGAAAATAAAATTAAATTAAATAAATACCCACGGGAAAACAGCTTATTGAAAATAGCTTATTGAAGGTGAGTATCTTTTTTTTTTTGGTCAATTTAGCATGAAATTTTTATTCAAAGACATCGTAAATTTTTGGGTTGCATTTAAATCGATACAAGATATGTAATTTAACATTTATTTTATGCATTTGTGTGAAAATTGAGAGCGAGAAGTCATATGAACAGGATTTCCTTTTTTTTGGGGGGGGGGGGGTATAAATAAAGGTCAAATGTGTGCATCTTTTCATGAGCTTATAATACATTGAATTTCTAAATATATATCGAGGTAGATTCATATTGAAATATGAATTACATAGTCAGTCAAGTTTTCACATTTTTTTTTTTTTAGTTTTTGCGTTTATGAGCATGTTAATGAACAAACTGAAATAATGGAGTGTTCAATTGCCTTGGAAACTCTTGTCTTACTTTTTGGGAATATAATTCATCATCGGACATTAAAATTTCATAAAAATCGAAGCCACTGCCTTTCTTTATTATACTATTTAATAGACAGGGTAAATTTTCCCTCTTTACCTTCTATGTTTTTTTTATATCGCTATCTTATACCTCATTATAATATGCTAATACAACACACTTTTTTGTCTTACTTTTTGGGAATATAATTCATCATCGGACATTAAAATTTCATAAAAATCGAAGCCACTGCCTTTCTTTATTATACTATTTAATAGACAGGATAAATTTTTCCTCTTTACCTTCTATATTTTTTATATCGCTATCTTATACATCATTATAATATGCTAATACAACACACTATCTGATTGGTTCTAGACAATATGTCACAGTTGTCGTGTTGATGTGGAATTATTATAAATTCCCGAATTCTGATACTTTACAATTCTGTTGTGTTGGGAATGAACATTTGGAAAATGCATATACTTTCAACATAAGGAGAAATAATCAAAGTACTCAGAAGTACAGAGAGCCGGGCTCATTTACAGAGTAGAATGGATTCCTTACATGAATCACCTTTATATTCTGATGAAAAAATTATTTTAAAACTATCAATGTAAATGGTAAGACACTGACAGTGAGTTTTCCAATCCTAATATCACGATCTGATTTTGTCAGAATCAGAATTAATCTGGTACCGCAGCTGAATGTAAACAAACAGCCCAGTCTGGTTTTCTCTCTCCTGCTTTACCTCGTGTGTGTAGAGAACTACGGTAACAATGATTATCAAAAAATCCTTACGCTAATGACCTATGTTCTTTGACTTAAGAAGTTTTCAAAGTCATTACTACTAATGTTTATTTTATATAGATAAAACTTTTATTTTTGTTGCTTTATTTAGCATTTGTATTATCTCAAAAGCGGTTGAGAGTGAGAACTGTACTTTTGCACGTAACTTTAAAATGGCGACTATGGGGTTAGCATTCTGCCTTGAACAGGATCGCATAAGCCGGCAATTGCTCTTTGAGCAATAAGCCCGGCTAAAAAGCAAATCGAACGCCTTTTTGTGTGCATATCATGAAATGACTGAGCTCCACGGGTATTTGTTGTCCCGAGCGCATTAATCTTAACGCCCAAATTCTTACTTGGCTAGTAATACCTATAGAAAACATGTGTATTTAGATGAAAGTTAACTCAGCAACATGTGCTAACCCATTGTTTAAGTTTTATTAGGGGATTACACCTCCTATACTCGATTTCGCGGATTCAACGATATCCTAATATCGAGTATTATACGCGATTTCATGGATAATACCCGATTTTGAGTATTCTCTCCGACCTGTTGAATTGTACAGAAGTCAACGAGCATCAAGCTACTTGCAGACATCTCAGTCTATAACGTTACGCAACAACTACTTTGATATATCATTATTTGTAGGGAAAGTTGTTCCGCAGAATTGACACTGTATAGAGTTTTATCTTGGGGAGCAGTTCATGAAATGCTGATAATGTTCATGAAAGGCTGATAATGTGCTCATCTCTTCATATCCCCTGAACCCACCTCTGATGATTTTAGAGGTTTGCTGTTTCTATTGTTTGACTGGACACTATAAATAAATGCATCGTCAACCTCACATATAATGTTTATATGATGTAGTTCAGCGTTCTTAATAGCGGTCTATGTATTATTGACAGGTACAATCTGTTTTCAAATGCACCACCTAACACTTGAAAAAAAATTATGAAAAAAACAACTCAAACCAGAAATTTATTTTATTTTATTCACACAATTTTCAGGGCAGCCCTGTTGGTTGTGGTGCACATTCACAAAGCGGACACCCCTGAGAGTCTAGGCGGTATCCAGTGTAACAAGTCTTAGAGCAGTTGAACACCCCCGGACATATGATTCTCCGTAGAGTACTGCTAGGTAGGCGTGTCTTGGTGATGGGCGTGGTCACTGAAGGCGAGATCGTGAGGTGAGCCGGGAAACTAACGGGCTAATGTAAAATTCAAGTAATAATTAAGTAGGAATATTTGTTGTATTACCACTAAAATTACTATAGTTGTTCACAAATAAATTTTGCATTGGTTCTTAAGTTAGTTTAAAGTCAAGTTAAGTGAAAATGAAATTTCAATATACTTGTATAATATATCAATTAACGTGCTTTCAGACAAGGTTTACCTTAAATAATGTTGTGGACATATTGGTCTTTAGGGTAGTTGGAACTGAAATATACATGATACAGCAAAACTCGCTTAGTACGAACACGGATATTGCGAATTTACGGATATATCGAAGTCATCTTGGATCCCCAGCTAAATAAATTCAATGAATTTCTTATACGGTTATAACGAATTACGGATATAGTGAAATTATTTCATAGATCCCTGTGACTTCGTTATAACCGAGTTTTGCTGTAATAGAAATTAATTGTGAAGATGAATTAAAAACATATACCCTCAGTAATCAATGTACTGATATTCGAATTGTTCTTTCTCTCTAAAGTCATTCCGCAAAATAAACTTACCCGTTTTACATGAACAGCTAGGACAACCATCGGGACCCGGTGTGGGACCGATCACAAATCCATTCTTACAGCTTAGAATACACTGTATAGCGCCCGGACAAGAATTGACGGATTTAGTTGAAGAAGCTGACGAGACAGAGAGAGGCGGTACTGCAGTAGTTGAGATTCTACTCGAAGATAGAGGCTGTGTCGTCGATGGTGTTGTGGTTTTTGTGGTAGAGGGTTGTGACGTAGTGCTAGACACGGATGATGTAATTGCCTTCTGTGACGTTGTAGTGAATTGTGTTGTGGCTGTTGTAGAAGGTGTCTGTGACGTCATTTTACTAGATACACGTGAGGTAGTTCCTGTCGTCGTTGCAGCTGATGTAATCGTTGATGATTTGGGTGTCTGTGAGGCGGTGCTTCTGTATGACGTCGTGACTGGCTGTGATTGTGTAACCGGCAACGATGTCATTATTTGGGCTGCAAAATCATGAATAGAATTTCATCAGTTAGAGGCTATCTAGAAAAATATTGAGATCAAACGTTTTTATTATTTCTATAGTGAACCTCCTTGCCTGTTTCACATAATAACAATAAATGTTCTCTTTTTGATATAGAACCATTTCCAGGTAAGCTTGGACTTTCAGTAAGGCGTTGCATTCTCGGCGCTACAGCTGTATAGGTAATTAGGGTACGTCAAATTGCGAATAGATTCTCATTGGTTAAGAAATTAATAATACATGTATCAGGAACTTAAAATTGTTGTTGACAACGATGAGACGACTTAAACCCCACCTCTTTGTCGGACGAGACAATGTTATTGATTATTCGATACGCTAATTGTCATTTGCCCGAAATTCTATCCCATGTATATTTCAACAATGAAGGAAAGCTGTGTAAATTTCAGAAGCTAATTATATAATGTCGAGAATGCCACTTTCACTGAAAGTCCAAGCAAAGCTGGGAATTGTCCTAACTGTAAAAAATTACATACGGCAGTTGCACTCTACACAACCGGAAGCGGGGTTGACAGCTGCTGCGCACGGTGACCGACAATTCATCCATTTTGTGTTGCAACCAGTGCCTATCAGCGTTACTTGACCTTACAAGGAATCAAAGCATTGATAAGAAAATAGTGTGCAATTAACCTATAGACAAAGTATTTATATATTAGATCAAGAAAAACAGTTAAGGGTTAGATTAGGAAGACAGTGTGTTTCCTATGCACTTCCAAGGAAATAATAGTTGACACATTTCATTGTTGAAATGAAATAAATGTAAAAAAAAAATCTTGACGAACCAAACGAAAAGAAAGGAGAGAAAAATAAGAAAAAAAAATAATGGTAGAACAATTCTGAGTTCTTTTTATCATTGTCTCTATAGAAACTAATAATCCTGTAAAATTCCTTCAAATATTTTTTTTTACTGAAGGACCTTGAAATTTTTTTTTTATAAAAAGAATATCAGCAAGCCTCAGGGGCACTATAATTATGGAATGGAGAGTACATGTGCATACGAATTTGTAATTCTATTGAGAGAAGATCTACACTTCGACATTCACGTTTTAGCCTCTTAACAGCCAGGTAGGTTTCCTTTTCATTAATTGATATTTATAACCTCCTGAATTCATCTGCTGGTTGGGATTCCCTCCGAGATTCCCCGGATGTGACGGATCCATGTTACTACAGTCACAATCACAACCGGAAGTCGTCTTTTTTAAACACATTGGAGGACAGAGAAAATTCGGTTGACATGACCCCAAAGCGTTGTTTTTAGTAATTGCAAACAGGAAGGCTGCGATAAAATATGAAACGAACTTTGAATATTAATGTATTATCTAAATGTGAAAATAAAATCAGAATCACAAATTTCTTTTTTGTATTTAAAAAAACATGCATGCGACAATTAAATTACAAATTCTTTTTTGATTGCCTTTCAACATATTAATTTTTTTTACTAAATCTTCAACAAAAATGATAAGGAAGTACCAATTTTAATTTATATCTTTCTTTTCTCCTTTTCAATTTTATTTTATGCTTAATACCAAAAGGTTAGATTTAAACTAACAAACTGAAATCTTTGTTTATAAACAGAATCAACAGTAAGTCCATTAGAACCAGCAGTGAAATTTAAAGAGGTCCTACCTTCAGAAAAAGCAATAAGTACCCCCAACACAGAAAAAATTATGTATCCCATCACAAGTGAACGCTATTCACAACAAGTCACGCGGAATATTTCAGGTCTTATATTGCTCGTTTTTGAGCGCCATTAAATTTAACAACAAAAATTCGCATTGCCTGACCCTATGGCATGATAATATTTGACGGATACTGAATATACTTGTAGAGGTTTTGTAGATAAGTCATACAGTTGGGCGCGGATCTAAAGGTAAAGAAGTGAATGGATTACGGAATCTTCCGCAGACGTACATTGCTTGAGATAATATAATATACTGATTACAGTTATATTTTCGCCCTGTGTTACAGTGGCGTAGCATCGTTTTTGAAAGTGGGGGGGGGGGTAGCCACAGAAAAAAAAAATTTTACTTACCTGAAAAAGTTGACAAGCAAAAAAAAAAAATAATAAAATAAAAAAAAGGGAAAAAAGGAAAAGTTGTCCAAAGTTGAAAATCCTATTTCGGGGGGGGGGGGGGGGGGGGGGGGGGGGGGGTTAAACCTTTTCTTCAGTGTCAACTACTTTTAGTACCAACTCTAATACTACATTTTCGGTACATCACTAAAAGTGGGGGGGGGGGGGGGTTCAACCAAGCTTTCAATTAACATTTCCTATAGTATGAGTAAGGTTGGGAAAAAAAGTAGGGGGCCTAGCCCCCCCCCCCCCCTCCCGTTGCTACGCCCCTGAGTTATTTTCGCCCTTTCCCACTTGTAAACAATTTTGCCCCGTTTTAATTACGCCTAATCACAGTTTTGTTTTAGAAACTGTACATTATTTTCTTTGAATTCGCCCCGTTTTAAATCTGCCCATTAGCGAAAGGGGCGAAAATAAAACAGGGGGGTGGGGGGAATTTCCCGTATACAGTATCTAGTTTGGATTTGGTTAATCATTTTTTTTTTATTTTAATAAAAGATACCAAAAAATGATAAATTTGTCATGCTTTGTAATTTAGAAATGTATTACAGTTTCGGGTAGACTACCACTCCACCATAATCAACTAAGCTCCAAAATTTACCAAACAACATACACCAGTTAGACGAGAAATTCATGTTTATTACTGAAAATAAAAGTAAACGTTTGGAGAGGAGCCTTTTAATCTGTAGATAATTTAACAATCCAGGCAGGTGTTTGAATCGACTTGCCCCTGCTACAATTCCTCTGTTTGCCATATCTTGATGATAGAAGACGTTGTTTGCTAGTATTGTCAAAAATATATACGTCATGACTTTGGCCGATTTACGCATGCCTGACTACATATTAGTTTTTTTGAAAGCGATTGAACAAATTACGCAACATGTTTAATTTAGTGATTCATAGTTTAATGGGAATTTTTTTCCTGGCAGGTATGAGTTAATTACTAATCAAAAAGTCACAATTTATATCTTGTCTTGTTTTGTATTTCTGTTTAGAATTGGCACCCTACCTTGTCCAGAAATTTCTCACATCGTTAATTCTAAGTAGTACCTATCGAAAAAACGGATTATTTACACGTACTTTACTCATGCAGTATTAAACATGTTAAATAAAAACTTTTTTTTTTGGCAGTTGCGGGACGTCGACACACATCCCTCAGTTATAGAAACTTCAACCTAAGGCTTGTGTATCACCCCAATCATGAAAAAGTCATTTATGATGGACATACTCTAAAGACTAGTGAAATATTCAGAGAAAATCATAAATACGACGATTCCAATTTTAAGGTACTTGTTATAAATCAGTAAAATAAATTTAAGGTCGCAAGTCGCAACTTCTCTAGAACGAGAGAACATCCTTATTTTCCAATGTAGAGTAAAACTTCCTTCTGCGCTTCACTCTTTTGTGAAAAAAATATGTCAAAATCTGTAATTTTTTATTTGCGTAGTATTAATGTGACGATTGTTCCCTTGTTCTCCTGATTAAATACTGATAATATCTTTTCTCTCATTAAGCGAAGAATCATGTTAAAAACTGTACTCACTAGTTTTTAAATTGGCTTGATTTTATGAGGACGACTCCTTTTGCATGAAATTTTAACATCAAATGTCTTTTTTGAAACATGTTTGAGTTCTTTTCTGGTCTCGAAACGTTGCAATTGTGCAACACAAATACATTTAACACAGAATTATGGAGGAACGAACGGGAAATGGAAGGACCAGAGAAATAAAGTCAAACAAAAGGATTTCAACGAGATCGAGAGGCATATCAAACCTCCAGATGTAAAACACAAGGTCCCGGATGTAAAAGTGAGGGTGCGAAATCGGCGTGGAGGTGGCATGATGAGCCAAATGTCGCTTGGAATGGGAGGTAAATAATCTTCATCGGTCTTTTGAAAAAAGTAATATTTATATTGAAGGACATTTTCCATTTTAAAACAAACCGTTCACGGTAGCTCAGTCGGTAGAGCGTTCGCTCCGTGATTGGGAGGTCTTGAGTTATAGTATCTATACGGACTACGACTGACCCAAGTCAGTAAAAAATGGGTAACAATTGTTCCTTCGCCATGCGCTCGGCACTTTGAAGTGAAAGTTGCGGGTCCTTTGGATGAGACCTTAAAAACCGAGGCCCCGTGTCAGCGGCAGGCGTTAGCACGATAAAGATCCCTCACTGCTCAATGGCCCTGAGTGCCGAGTAAAGGTCAAAATTTGAAGCCCTTCCCCGGCATAAGGGTGACGTCTCCATATAATGGAAAAATCTCGAGAGGGACGTTAAACAATATACAATCAATCAATCATTCAATTCGTTTTAAAAAGCAAGTAAAGACTTGGCATATGACACCATAATAAATCAGTATCTACACATTCTTCAGCTCTGGCCGACAAATCCCTCATTTACGGTCCTAGACCTCTGACTTCCGGAAACATTCCCGGAAGTGGTCAAAGCGGAAGTGGTCAAAGCTTAGGCATGTCGTCCACAAGTTCCGGTCCTTTTGCTAATAAAGGAATGTCACAATCTATGTTTCCTGCTGGTTTGTCCAACAGAGGCGATGGACTACCGAGCGGTTTGTCGAATGGCGGCACCGGGATGTCGCCATTTCCAGGGTCTGCATCAGTGGGTGGATCGATGCGTGGTGGAGCCAGCCAGACGCCTTTCAATATGGCGATGCTTTCTATGCGCAGTCAGGCAGACCTGTCGCCCTCTATGGGAGGAATGTCAATGAATAGCGCAGGCGCAGACAGTTTAATGGGCGGGCTTTTCAACAAAAACAAAGAAAATTCAGACTCAGGGAATCTAGGTAACAAACATTTCTTATATATATAAAATAATAATATTGTTTCTCTTTGTAAGTTTAGAAAAAAAATGCCATTAATTTCTCTTAGGGACAAGAACTTCTGATAATTGGAAAAATCCCTTATTAAGTGTTCCCCAGTTTTCCCCTTCTAACTATTGCTTTTTATTATATAATTATCTATTCAAATCTGCAGAGAAGAAAATTGTGTTTGGAGACACGGTTTCTATCCAGTACGTGAATGGCAAGATCATCGTTCCCAAGTCGTGGTCCATTGAAAAAGTCAGGGCACTTCAGGCGCAAATCATGTCAGGTAAACTTATCGAACACAATCCAGGGTCCAGGGATCCAATGCTCTGTATCCTTATATCACAAAATTAAAATCCTTGTAAAGGGTATGGGACAGAATGTCGAAATTTGTCTAAGGGCAAGTTACTCCCCAACAGCTGCATATCCTTTTAGATAAAGTAAACACAAGCCTCTAGGTCACGAATCATCCTTCTAACTGCGCTTCCATGATCGATTTTTTCCAGATTCTTTGTACAAATTACAGTATATTTTTAACAAGAAGTGTAAATATAAAACCTGTTTTATAACATACTAATCTTTTACTTACAGACATTTAATTTTTATTCGAACTAGTGAATGCCAGTAATAAGAATTGATGAGTGTTTTACATTTTTTATGTAAAAACAGGTCACGGTAGCAGTCACTCTAGCAACAGCTACACCAATGGTGCGACACCCAGCCATATACATACTGGCAGCCATAGCAACCACCGTATCCCTGGTAACAGCCACACGGGTCAAGTTTGTCCCCAGGTCACCCCTGACTGTCCACAGTCCTGTGTGGAATTCAGTAATCAGGGCTGCCCAGTCTGTTCCTGTGGTAGGTAACAAAATGACCTCCAGGGTCCCAAAGCCCCCGAGTCAATTTTTTTATTTATATATTTAGTTTTCGTTTATTGATTTTACAAACTTTCAGAGTTAATTCACTAGGCTCAGATCTTGCAATTTAAACTACAGTTTGTGATAAAATATAAAAGATTGTGGGCTGCTTTACTCCTGCTGTTTAGATTAGACAAATAGCCATTTGTTGCTGCATGTTATGATAAATGAGTTTTAGTGATGGTGTCACATACATGTATATCTAATCAAGTTTTATCTTATCATAGGCAGCGACATTTGCCCAGCTTTTCCTGCCGGATGTCAGCGAGGGCGCGTGCGCATTGACAAAGATGGCTGCCCGGTATGCGTATCAAAACGTAAGTATTCCTTTGTAGTTTTACAACTAGGATATAACATGAATCTTTGGACTTTCAAAAAAAAAAATTAATATAATGAGGATTATGTTAAAAGAATACGTTCATTTGCTATTCTCCTAAAACGCCCGTCTAGTTTTACATGTTATAAATCCTAGTACATAAAATACTTTGTTTTTGCAGACACGGATGAAAATTGGTATAACGAGATATGGAACTAATTTACCAATCGGAGATTTATATAGCAATTATTAAACGTAAACTTCTTGACTTTGTTTTTATATTTTGTTTGAGATCAATGAGTATCCCCATTCCCCATACAAAGCGTCTTTTTTTAAATAAAGCAGAATTTCTATTTTACATAGAAATCTTATTTTTAACATGCCAGGGTATGCATGCTCGGATAAATCTACCTGATCCGTTGTTTGAAACAAAAAGAGAATGTAGAAATTTACATTACATATATATATACTAATAACTAATACTCAAGTGAATTATTTTACGACTCCTGTCAGCATACGTTGATACAGGTCATCGGAAATTGCCATTGCCGGAACCAAAGAATATTGATCCAAGTCATTGAGTATTGTAAATTAATATATTTCTTCTTTTTGTTAAAAAAAAACTTTTGTTTCGTCATCATTACGTCATTAGCAGACACACACTGGACAGCCGTCGGAACCCAACATAATGCCTTTGTTACACGGAGTAACGCACCTCACTGGAGAACAGGTAGACGACGCATGCGCAGTCGTGGTCTGCTGAGTTGTTGTCAATTGTGCTGAAACAAGGTTTGAAAAATGGGTCGTGTATTGTTCAAAGTTTTACTTATTCGGCTTATATCTTGACTAACATCTCATTCAAAAGGAAATTTCTTTACAAATGGAAACTCTCATGATTTTACTTGGATATAACAAAGACATTAACTAAGGACATACTACCTCGTGCTGTTATGTATTACCTGTGCAATTAGGACATCTATTAACTAATGCCACACTGCCTCTTGATGTTACGTCTTACACTCCTGTACAAATTCGACATCCATTTAACTAATTAGGCCACACGGCCTCGTGTTGTTATGTCTTACCTGAACAAATACAACATCCATTAACTAAGGCAACACTGCCTCTTGGTGTTGTGACTTACTGTACAAATAAAATATCCGTTAACTAAGGCCACACTGTGACTGCTTCGTGCTATTAATTCTTACCTGTACAAATAGGACATCCATTGACTAAGGCCACACTGCCTCGTGGACAGGTGCTTGGAAACGCTGGACACATCGGCGACGCTTCAAACGAATTCAGAAGAAAAAAAAATCAATGTTTTATCTCTTTGTTTATTTTTCATTTCCAGTGTGTTACAAGTTTTTGATTAAACTATATGAAGATATAACCAACGAAAAGTATTCAAGATCGAAATGCCATCAGACAATACAAAATTTAGAACAAAGCAGTCAGGGACCTATAAAACATCAGAAGTTGGATCTGGTGTCATGGAGGAAGTTAGCCTATTACGCTTAAGTCAATTCTTCTTTACAAAAACACTTAATTTAGAATTTTTTAAAAATAAAAATCAAACTCAAAAAAAAATAAAAACAAATAAATGTTTACATTACGAATACCTGTTGTGGACATTGACGAAAGAGAGGATCCACCACCAGATGTCGCTTGAATGTTGTTTCCTGTTTCAAGGCAAGTAAAATACTTTTAAGGGAAAGGTGATATGATGCTTAACTTTGAATTTCATTTACATTCATCAGAGTCGAATTTCCTCGTCAATATTTGGGGAAGCGAAATATGAAAAAATGTTAATAATGGTTGGTTCTTTTTTAAAGGTATTCGTTAATTTATGCAAAATATATAGTTTACGAAAAAAAATTAACAGTATACATTATTTTTAAAAAAAAATATCCTTACGACATCCAGACTTGCATGTAACGCAGCCAGTCACGGAGTCAATTTGCCTACAGTCTATGTCACAGTGTGTCGTAATGACCTGGTCACATTTACCAGGGAGAGAATTCATATTGGAACTTCCTGACTGTAAACTAAAGGCTAGAAAAATAAGAGGACATAAATACGCCATCATTCGATCATGTTTCCTGCAGAAGACATGTTTTTTTTCTTAATTAATAAATAAAATGGATTCACTGGTTACTACTTCTAAACATAATTAAAAACCCTACATCCGGGACCGTTGTGGTTCTGATGTTGAACATATCCGGTTCCTGTTGCAGCTGCGCTCTGCTGTTGGTGGGAGATGTCTAAATAACCAGTCGCATCCCCGGGAACTTTGATGTTATACAGACCAGACAGGTCCCCTGGGTTGGGTATTGAAATCCCGAACAGCCCCAAGAACCGCTTATTTATTGGTCCTCCTACAACACGTGTCTGTATTTGTGATAGTATTGTATATTTTGTAAAACCGGAGTTACATATTTTAAACTCTATTTCAGTGTAAACAAGGTCCCATTTTATCATGTAAATCAAATAATATTTATCAAAAGGCTTATGTGAAAGAAATTGAAACTTTTTTTTGGACAGTTGTTGTGCTTGATGAAAGATTACATATGACATACATACTTCAATGCTGTGGGAAAACTCAGTATATAACTTAGATAAAAATATCAAAAATGAATGAAAAGTAGTTTTTAAAAAAAAGCATTTGCTAGTGAAGGAAAATAACTGACTTACCATATAGTGAAGGTATAAAACAAAACAAAACAAAGAGTGTGGTCTCCATTTGTATCATGCTTTTGAGGAATTTATAATGGTAATGACCAGCTCAGAGAAGATAAGGCAGACACAAGAGTCTTGTATGTGTGGAATTAAGCCCAGGAATGCTGAATGATATAGTGGTATTATAATAGTGTATTATGTAATATTAATACTGTATTGGTAGGTATTTCTGCATTAATACTTCGTGAACATATGATTGGTATTGAAATACTTAAAATCCTATAACATTGTGTCACAAAAGTTAACCAAGTTGAAAATTTATCTTCACATGCTTATAAGGTCAGATGATACAAACATAAGTATAGATGCCTTGATTGTCACTAATAAATTTCTAAAAAGTAAAGGATTTGTATTTCTGTGATGTTCAAATTTCAACTTTTTGCGATTTAGATCATAAATCTATATATTTTTTTTTTACTTTAAATCCCATAACTGTGAAACTTTGACTGAAAAATTTAAATCTGAGCAGTTAAACTTTAATTTATTTAACACATATCAATATAACTGACGTTGTCTCTTTTCAGGAATTTTGATAAAAGTTTACTTGTAACATCTATCCTTAACTACAGCTATATGATAAAACTATACACCCTTAACTCCTCAACCTGGGTACCCAGGGGCAGTATTTTGCATTTGGTGACAGTCGTACTAAGGTTAGTATTTTGCGTTTTCATGACGTCATTTAAGGCAAGTATTTTGCCCTGTACCCTTTTTCGAGTTTGAGCGATTTTACTTTTTTTCAAAAGATATTTTAGGTAATGTTAAAACACTATTCCTCCCTTCCAACTTTCAGAAATGATCCCAGACATAAAATTAACTAACCGACTGGTCAGTACGAAGTTATGTAACTATACTTCAACACTTATTACCGTCTTCCTTGGAAGACGGTGTTATACAGTTGAAGTTTTTACAGTCTTCGGACATTAATTCTAAATAACATGATTTTCTTTTATAGCAATAACTAAAAAGTTCTCTTTAATTTCTTTGTAAAAAATATTTCATTTTTATTGCTTGCAGGCTTTACATTTTTTTTATTATTCTTTTCCCCTATCTTGTTTGAATAAGGTAACGGAATCAGCCGAGGTTTTTGCCGAAATATCTCGGCCAGTCATAGTTTACGGAGATGACCGAGCGACAACCATGAAAGGGCTAATGCCAGTAAAAAGCTAATGTAGAAATACAAAATCAAGAAATTCAAAAGAAAGGTGTAGATCATTTTACTGCTAAAAGTTTGTTGCTAAAGACGGTAAGCTTTTTTAAAAAGCTCTACTTGTTGCTTGTACGAGTTCGTGTTCAAAGTATCAATTTGCATCACGTGATTTTTGTAATTTTTCAAAAATTTGGCTACATCTAAGCAAAACGAAATAGGACACTACAAAAACTTTTATGAGTTTCGTCAGAAAATCAAAAGTTTAAACTATAATTTTCCCCTCACTTCTAATAAAGTAAAAGATGAACGTGCTTCTCCAGTTTAGGATATATTGTTATCAATGAAAATTTAACCTTGATTATACGTATTTTTTTAACACATTTTCAAATAAAGGAATAGAAAATTTCCCTGTCGCATTTAACATTGATTAAATACCTGTAAGAGTTGCTTCTCCTTGATCACAAGGCAAGCGATAGATTTGACCAGAATTGTTGAAAATAAAAAATAATCAATCAAATCTTATCTACCATATTTTCTTAATTGAAGAACAAGGTATAGTCATCACATAAAGGAAAAAATCTTTTAACTGTCTGATAAATACGTGATTTTGTGTTTTGTATATTTTTTTAATTCAACTGTGAACATCACCAGACATTTATTCATAACCAAAGATATATATATTTTTTTTAAAGAAATGTGCCGTAATTTGTGCTTTTTTCTCGGTAGGTTATGATTTTTAAAACATTTTCGACTTCTACAGAACCACTAGACCGATTTACGTGAAACTTGGCATTAGACTACATGGCGTATTGGATGGAGCTGACTAAAGTTAATTTGCATAAAGCACTCAAGTTAAAGACCAGTAATTAAACTTTATCCTTTAATGTATAACTTTTTTTTTATATAAAACACAATCCTATGACTTGTTTATTTGTGTTTAAAATAATCTATATTCCTTCGTGGCAGTTTGTATGTAATTTTACGCCAATAAATGTTTTCATTCTATTTATAAATTCGTTTTCTTTTCTTTTTTTTTTTTAAATTCATTTATTAATTTTTGAATTATTAGTGTTTACATGTGAATACTGTATACAAGGAAATTTTCGCCCATTTCGCCCTAGTCTGGCATGGGCAAATTTAAAACGGGGCGAGCCGCGAACTCAAAGTAAACTGTATAATATCTTAAACAAAAACTTGGGGCAAACTTGTTTTTAGATGTGAAAGGGCGAAAATAACACGGGGCGAAATTAACCACCTGTATACAGTAATGGGAAGATAAACTTTAAAACGTTAGCATTGAATTTCCTAATTGTTTAGAAATCTTATCCCCCTTTCAGCATTGATTTGATGTGTACAATTAGGCCACTCCAAATTTTCTAGGTTTATCGTTCACGTGTGCATTGGTTTTTCGACACTTTATATCATAATTATAATTTTTTTTTAAAAAGTCTGGAGATTTGAGATTGATTAAAACAGTGCGACATTTAACTCTGGACACGACATAGTCCAGACTTTTTACTACCATTTCTAATTAAGATATCCAAAATAGTTTTATATCACTTGGTGGGATTTCTTAGCAGTATCTTAAGGTATTATGTTGAACTCGCAAATATCTCCACTTCTAAAAATATAAAGTCCTAAAACTCAGAATCCCATGGGAGAATGGTGGGATTTTTAGTCCCACCAACTATCCCACCATTCTCCCATGGGAGAAAAAATGTCAGATGGGATATTTTCTCCCATTATGATTTTTTCTCCCACAGATTTGTTCAAATGGGATAAATCCCACGGATATTAACAATCAAATAATTTCTTCCATACATTGTGAAACATGAAATATATACCATAAATTATGACAATGACAAATCTCTCATCAAAATATATATAATATAATCCAACTATAACAAAGTATTGGAGAAAATAATTCATTGCCAATATCCGAGGGATTTATCCCATTTGAACAAATTTGTGGGAGAAAAAATCCCCTAGGAGAAAATATCCCATCTGACAATTTTTTCTGCCATGGGAGAAACGTGGGATAGTTGGTGGGACTGAAAATCCCACCATTCTCCCATGGGATTCTGAGTTTTAGGACTTCATATCTTTACAAATGGAGATGCTTGTGAGTTCAACATAAGACCCTGGGATACTGCTAAGAAATCCCACCAAGTGACATAAAAATATTTTGGATATCTTAATTAGAAATGGTAGTAAAAAGTCTGGACTATGTCATGTCCAGAGTTAAATGTCGTACTGTTTTATTTTGGTTGAAATCATTATATTTTTGTCATTATCTTTTATGATCTGTCTACAGTTCTTTATCTACCTAGGTACTCGTATATTTTAGACGCTTAATGCCTTAATTTTGCTATAATTAGGATCTTTCTACAAGAAAAATAAAAGAATTTTAAAAAACACATCCTTATTTTGAATGAAATGACTTTAAAGAAGTTCTATAAAGTCTGTGTTTTCTTTTTTGCTCTATGTGTTTTTTGCGAGTAGGTAGGTTGGGTGTACGCTAAAGATAAAAAAAAATGGAATGGCCTTATACGTATTCAAGGTATTTCTTCAGAAATATATCATTGTAGGGCAAAAGTACACTGTATGTCGAATGGATTTGATTAATAGAAATATTTTTTTTTTCAGAAAGTTAGGATATGAACTGAAAATCATTCCACAAGATGTGAAAATGTCATCATACCACTGTGAGATCCGAAACAAGGTGACGTTTTCAAAGCTAATGCCCTTGGTGATATCTGAATCCCACGAACTTCTGAATCCTATGCTTCAACATCCCATGTGATCGACCTCATAAGCACATGATGATTTCTGAATTCCACTGTAAAAGCTTAAGAGGCAGTCCACTGAAAATCAGGCAATGGGTGGCACATCGCATGTCATGGATTTTTATTATTTTTTGCATATAGAGTTATTAAAGCAAGTGTTTACACATGATAACAACAAAAAATTTTTTAGTGCTCCTCTAGTCCTATTTTCGGTAAGTGCTCAATTTTGAGTGCAAAAAGGTCAACATGGGGGTAAAAAAAATTACTACGTTTTTATTTTGTTTTATATGTACCAGATACGCAAAACCTGGATGTGTCCATCAATATTATTTATACCATAGACTCTTATCTTTAATTTTAGTAATGAATAAGACTCCAATTTATATTTCTTTAGAAAAAAATTTGTGGTCCAAAATTGAGTTTAGCAAGTAACTCTTTGAATTCATTAGCCAATTTTCATTACGTTATAAAACCCAATAAATTTCAATGACAGAATTTTTTTTCTCATGTTATTATGAATACAAAGTACAAACTTTTGAGTCACTCAATAAAATCAGTGGGCACCCGTATATTGAGAGAAATAAAAGGAGTCAAATTTACCTATGTTTTACAATTTTTCACAATTAAACCGATCTCGACCGGAATTATGTAAAGAAGGAAATACTATAATTGTAATGTTAGATTTGGCTCTTTTGTTGTAATATGGCCAAAAATTACTTGATTTATTTTTTTACATGTCTTATTGGTGGCAGTTGTCTTTAGTTTTATAACTTTACACATTTTGAATTATTTTCAATCGGGATCGGTTTTATTTCAATCGGGATCGGTTTTTACTGTAAAACTAGAAATATTCTGCATTAATTTAATGTATCAGAAAAAAATATGCTTGTCTTTTATTTCTGTTCAGTTAGTCAACTGTTTTAAAATTATTTTATCCATAGATTCAAATTTTATACAATGTATTTAAAATACTATTGTCTTTTACGTACATGAAGATTACAATCATGTATAACATCTGTTCGATATCTTGATACTCGGTATTAAAAAAAACAAGTATTTGTACATGCA